CAGTTAAAGTTATTCTGCATAGCCGTATTAATTTTGCAGGAATGTCAAAAGCAGACATGGCTTTACACACCACTGAATGGATAGGGCTGTTGAATGCGGCTTTGTAGTCGACGAATAGGTAGAATGTGTCGATGTGTTTTTTGAGAGTCTTTCCAGGATTTGGCGCTGTGTGAAAATCAGGTCAATGGTGGATTTGCGGGTTTGAAGCCGCTTTGGTATGGTCCAATAATGTCATTGACCATTGGCTTCAGTCGTTCGCACAGCACGCTGGATAGCACTTTATATGGGATGGGAAGGAGATTTATTCCTCTATAGTTGGCACGTATCGTCTTGTCTTCTTTTTGTACATGGGACACAGCATGCTGAGGTTCCTATCATTGGACATATTATTAGCCAAATTGTACTAATCTGGTGCATGTCTTCTTCAGCATGCTACTATTTTTGATACCAGAAGCTGCTTTACTAAGACGATTGCTATTCTGATCCATCAGTAGGTGGCTCTACCGTCATCTGTTATTGGTTTTTGTCTTCTTCATCTCTACATTTGATACCTGCACCAAAGCCTTCGGTTTGGTGTTTTACTCGTTGGTAAAATTTCCGGACTTCGTTCTGACACCTGTACATCTCGAGTTGCTCCCGTTTTTCCTGTTCTTTCTTCTTTTTCCGAAAATACGTTTCTCATCTCTCCTTTTCCACCGATAATTCTCCATCACATTACATGTTGCTACTGTCTGCAGGGTCGCCATATACCACGTGTATCTTGATGGTGGTCTTTGGCACCCAAGTGTTGCTTTTGCTGCAGTTTGTAGGGAGTGGGCAAATCATTGACATTGTGCTTCTATAATATTATCGGGACATGGGGTGCTTTCGTCATGCAGGTGGGTAAGTTGAGCGGAGTACGCTACTTCTACCTGTTATGTTTCCAGCTTTTCGACGTCTAGTTTCCGTGTTGTGTTAGATCGCACCTTTGCTGCTACATTAAGACGAGTGCCAATCTTGGCTGCAACAAGGTAGTGGTCCGAATCGATATTCGCTCCTGGGATCGATCGAACGCCTAAAACACTGAATGAATTCCTTCCGTCTATCACAAAATGATCGATTTGATTTCTAGTTGTTCGATCGGGAGAAATTCAGGTGGCCTTGTGTATATCGAGATGCTTGGATCTGGTGCTGCTAGGTCCCCTGTTTTAAAAATAATGGTTTCATTAAAAATGGTTTGTCAAAATTGATGCGATGTTTTGCATAGGTTCTAATTTATATACAGCTCCCATACATAATTTTCGCAGATTTTTTATGACATTTTGCCCGAAATTCTGTCCTATCGTAATCTTCATGGAGGAACATTTTTAATACTTGGTTCAAATTGGCATTATATACACATATAATGCTGTAACTTATGATACAAACCATATTAGCACCTATTTTATATACCCAAAGGGGTGTACAATATCAAATTGTGAAACCCGTCCGACTTTTGTTCTGAAACACCGCATTTGAGAGAACTTCGTGTGGCTCAACACATCATGTAGGTATGTATGTCTATATGTACACATTGGCTTTTGAGATGCATCATCATCATCGGCGCTGAAGACAAAAAACGATGTATTCTCGTTAAAGATTTCCGCATTTTGTTGCTATAATCGTTTTATCAAGATTTCGAACACGTACTAAACGATGGAATCGCTGTTTGTGAAAAAAACTATATTTACGTTTTTTTTTTAGTTTTCCATATTTTTTGCAATTCCAAAGAATTGTTGACAATTCCACCCAAAAAAAAACCATGACCAATTCTAATCTTTAATATTGTTTTTTTTCTATTGAAATAAAATTTATTAGAGTATCACCCATACCTACCCACCACGATCACCGCTGGGTTTTGAACATTTGCAGTTGCATTTGACAAAAAATTTTGTTTTGAAATTTGATCTCTCTGCAAAAAAATGTGTTAGCCCACTGACACATATCTATCGCAAGTGATATTATCTAATCAAGAGCAGATAATCGATGATTCGTTGGGGAACACCATCGGTATGTGGGTTGTATATAATGCGAATAAAACATTATCTTCAATGATTGTAAATGAAAAAATTGGATTTTTCTATATATTTTTTGAACATCCAATAATGGAGTGCATTTTTTAAAAATATATTTTTGAACATGAAATGACGGCTTGATATTTTTAAAAACCAAATATAGCGTGGATTTTTAAAAATATTTTTTATATAGGTAAATAAAGCGTGGATTTTTTAAAAATATTTTTTTAATAGAAAGTAAAGTGTTGATTTAAAAAAACTTTTTTTTTTGAATAGCGAAATAAGTCGTGGATTTATTATTATTTATTTTTATTTATTTATTATTATTTTATTTATTATTATTATTTTTTTTTTTTTTTTTTTTTGAGTAGCCATTAAAGGTTTGGATTTTTATACCCTACACAACTATGTTGTCAGGGTATTATAGCTTTGTGTAGCCCCAAGAGTTTGTAACCCCGCGAAATATTGGTCCTAGAGCCACCTTTGAGTATACCGATCGTCATATCTCGACTAGTGAGTCGATCTAGACATGTGTGTCCGTCCGTCTGTCCATTATAATTTGTAAACACGATACAGGCCACAGTTATGGACTAATCTTCACGAAATATTGCATGTAGGAAGACCCCTATTGTTTTTGGTAAAGATGGTTCAATATTTAGGGGATGAAATGGACCAAATAGTTAATTTTTGTCGGTTTTTCTGGTCGCTCCATAGGCCGCAATTATGGCCCAAACATCTCGAATTTTTACATGGAGAAGGGGATTGGGCCAAAAAATAAGCATGCCTGTTTTGATAAAGATCGGTCAATATTTAGCTGGACCCTGACTTTTGTGTGGAAAATAACAAAATTAGTATTCTATATTGTATATATTTTCTCCTGAAGGACATAGATCCGAGAAGTTGATAGTATATACAAGAGCAGTGGCCTTTAAATTGATATCAATTATATTTTCCTATGTATTCGGATGTGGGAATTACACGTAAATATTTACAGGTGCTTACGTGTTCAGATATTTAATAAACCATTACCACACTAGAGGGTGGAAATATAGCGCTGATCGCTTTGAAATGTTCCGCGAGGTTCCAGTTATGGTCAAGGACAATGCCTATAATTTTCGGTGATGACCAGATAATGATATTGGGATGAAGTGGACCGAAAACTTAATTTTTTGTGTTTTTTCGAGTAGATAGACCCAAGGTGAAGGGAATCTGGGCAAGTTATTTGAAGGACTGTAGTGAATATTAGTAATATTTGTTGACCTCTAGTCGGTCAAGAGTGTACAAATATCGCGGTTAATGTTACAAATATCACAGAAAGTTAGATTTTCGTGGGAGTTGTGTAGGGTATCATATGGTCGGCCCCGTTCGACTATACTGCTCCGCTCACTGGTTTTAAAATATTTGTTTAACATACATTTGCATACAGGGTATTATGTCTTTGTGCATATGTTTGTAACAGGCGAAAATAATCGAGATAGAACCATGGTTCCTTTTGAGAATATGCCTAGAATCACTTTCTATATCGATTTATGCATGTCCGTCCATTTGTCTGTCCATGTAAAATTGTAAACAAAGTACAGCTCGCCATTATGATCCGAATTGGATGACATTTGGCATAGGTCAATTATTTGGCCCAAGGACGAACCCTATTGAAATTCGGAAAAATCGGTTCAGATTTAGATGTAGCTCCATATATATTTTCGTCCGATTTAATGTAAATGGTGTACAAAAGTCCCTATATATCCTTCGATTAACAAGAAATTTGGCAGAGCGTACTGAATTAAGTCCAGAGTGATGTGTGTAAAGTTTTGTGAAAATCGGTTCAGATTTATATATAGCTCCCACATATATTTTCGTTCGATTTTAGGTAAATGGTGCACTAAAGTCCCTATATATTCTTCGATTTGCACGAAATTTGGCACAGCATACTGAATAAAGTCTAGAACGATGTGCGTTTACTTTCGCGAAAATCGGTTCATATTTGTATATAGCTCCCACATATATTTTCATCCGATTTAATGTAAATGGTGTACCAAAGTCCCTATATATCTTCCGATTTGCACGAAATTTGGCATAGCATACCAAATTAAGTCTAGAGTGATATGTGTAAAGTTTCGTGAAAATCGGTCAGATTTAGATATAACTCCCATATATATATATATATATATATATATTTTTTCGTCCGATTTTAGGTAAACAGTACACCAAAATCCCTACGTATCCTTCGGTTTGCACGAAATTTGGAATATCGTACTGATTAAAGTCTAGAGTGATGTGTGTTAAGTTTCGGGAAAATCGGTTCAGATTTTGATATAAATCCAATATATATTTTCGTCCGATTTAATTTAAATGGTGTACCAAAGTCCCTATATATCTTTCGATTTGCACGAAATTTGACGTAGCGTAATGAATTAGGTCTAGAATGATGTGTGGCAAGTTTCCTGAAAATCGGTCCAGATTTAGATAGAGCTACCACATATGCATAAGTATTCGTTCGATTTTACATAAATGATGCACCAAACTCCTAATGTTTGTCCGATTAACACGAAATTTTGCACAACGTATCAAATTGAGACTTGAATGACGTCATTGAGTTTTATTGATATTGTTGCAAATGTAGCCATAGCTTCCATATGTATTTCGAAAGGGTGCCTGAATGAAATTTGTCCCATGGCAAGCAGACGACTCTAAATTTATCATAGGTTGCATAAAGTCATCAGATATTTTTAAAAAATCCACGCCTTTATTGGATGTTCAAAAAATTAAAATTAAAAAATTAAGATAACCTAATTATTTATATTTTTAATCTCAAATAAGTAGCAGAGAAATTTAATTTCGCTAAAACAACTAATATACTGGCTAATCTAAACTCTATTAGAAAAAGAAAACAACTCACACTAACTGCACGCTGAAAAAAAAAATAATTTGAATATAATTAATAATATATGTTTCTGTTCCTCTATCTAGATCCCTGCGTAGCCTAAATGTGGACGGTGGAGAAGGAGGCGACAACAATGACACCGATCAGCATCATCAAGTTTAAATCAAATTCTATTATTTGTGCATTTCTTCGAAAACCCATGGACTTTTTCATTTTTTTTTTTATTTTTTTTTTACTTTTTTTAATATGATGAACCAAAAAAAAAAAAACAAAACAATTATAACAACTAAAAATATAATTAATTAATGAAAATACTTTATAATAACATCATACAACTCAATAGCATTTATTTTTTGTAACTGCCCCCTAATTTTCAATTTTTTTATAACTAATTCTCAAAAAAAATATTTCGTGTTCATTTACATATCTAGCAATATTATTTGGTAAGCCAAAATAATTTTATATAAAAGCTCATACAGTTTAAATCTGTGATTATTATAACACCAAAAAAAATTTTTTTTGTAATGAAAAAAAATCACAAAAAATAATTTAAAACCAAAAAGAAAAGTTTATAATAATTTCAAATATGATGCAATATACACCAAAAAAGAAAACCCTGCAATATGGAAATAATGAAATTTGAAAAAAAATCAAATTTATAAATTAAATAATTTAGTAATATAAGTTTATTTTTAACAATGGACACACTAACAATTTCCGTAATAAATATAAACAAATATAATGAATATAGATTTTTTTATATATATCATTAATTTTGAATGTGTTTAATATGCAAATATTAGTTAAAAGCAGTGAGCGGAGCAGTATAGTCGGACGGGGCCGACCATACGATACCCTACACAACTACCACGGAACTCAAACTTTCAGCGAATATTTATTCCGAGCGTGGGCAATATTTCGTGATAGTTCAACCCTCTTGTCCGATTAGAGGTCAACAGCACCTCTTCCTTACACTGACATATTTTCCGAATATTACCAATATTCAGTACAGCCCTTCTAATTACTTGACCAGATTACCTTCACCGTGGGTTGTGTTGTGATGTTTGGCTTTCAATTGTGGCCTATAGATCGACTCGAAAAAAAACACAAAAAATATGTTTTTCGGCCCACTTCATCCCAAAATTATTATCTGATCATCACCTAAATTTATAAGCGTTGTCCTTGCCCATAACTGGAAACCTCATGGAAAATTTCAAAGAGAATAGCCCTATATTTCCGCCCTCTATTGTGGTAATGGGTTACTAAATAATATCTCAGTACGTAAGCACCTGTAAATATTTAAGTGTAACTCCTACATCTGAGTACATACGACCATATAATTGGTATCAATTTAAAGGTCAACCACTCCTCTTGGATATGCTATCAACTTCTCGGATCTTTTTTCTTCAGGGGTAAATATATACGCTATAGAATACAAATTTTGTAATTTTTCTCACAAAAGTCAAGGTCCATTTGACCCACTAAATATTGACCAATCTTGATCAAAGCAGGCATGCTTATTCTTTGGGCCGATCCCCTTCTTCATGCAGAATTTCACGATTTTCGGGCCATTATTGCGGGCTCTGGAGCGACCAGAAAATCCGAATAAAAAATTAGTGTTTGGTCCATTTCATCCCCTAAATATTAACCGATCTTTCCCAAAAACAATAGGGGTCTTCATTGGCCAGAACCCATCCTACATGTAAAATTTCGTGAAGATTGATCCATAACTGTGTCCTGTATCGTGTTTACAAAGTATAATGGACAGACGGACGGACGGACACATATGTCTAGATCGACTCAGCTAGTCGAGATATGACGATCGGTATACTTAAAGGTGGGTCTAGGACCAATATTTCGCGGCGTTACAAACTTTTGGGGCTGCCCAAAGCTATAATACCCTGATAACATAGTTGTGTAGGGTATAAATACGTAAGCACTTGTAAATATTTAGGTGTAACTCCCACATCTGAGTACATACGACCATATAATTGGTATCAATTTAAAGGTAAACCACTCCTCTTGGATATGCTATCAACTTCTCGGATCTTTTTTCATCAGGGTTAAATATATACGCTATAGAATACAAATTTTGTCATTTTTCACACAAAAGTCAAGGTCCATTTGACCCACTAAATATTGACCAATCTTCATCAAAACAGGCATGCTTATTCTTTGGGCCGATCCCCTTCTCCATGTTCGGGCCATTATTGCGGGCTCTGGAGCGACCAGAAAATCCGACAAAAATTTAGTGTTTGGTCCATTTCATCCCCTAAATATTAACCGATCGTTCGTGAAGATTGGTCCATAACTGGGCCCTGTATCGTGTTTACAAATTATAATGGACATACGGACGGACGGACACACATGTCTAGATCGACTCAGCTAGTCGAGATATGACGATCGGTATACTTAAAGGTGGGTCTAGGACCAATATTTTGCGGCGTTACAAACATTTGGGGTTGCACAAAGCTATAATACCCTGACAACATAGTTGTGTAGGGTATAAATACAGCGTAGCCTAAGGCAACACATACATAATTTTACGAATTTTACTGTATTATACCCAAGGTAAACCTATACCCCTATCCGACTTATACTGCTAGTATTAATGGTGAAATTGATGTCCATAAAAAAATTAGACAACTATTACTGTACTATAAAAAAAATTCCATATTTTCGACATATAGTGTCGCAAAGACACCTTTAAATTTTTATCATACCTCCCATATCCGACCTCTTACATCAATAGTTAATATGACGCCATTGTACAATTATTTGCATTCCTAAGATATCTATGCAGAAGGGGAATTCATCGAATCCGATGGAAAGATCAAGTAGAAGAGAACATCTCGGAAAATGGTCTTTCAAATTGGATGAGATGCGCACAAGACCGACGCGCCTGGAAATCTTCTTCGAAACTATGTATTGAAGCTATATCTAAATGTGAACCGATTTTCACGAAACTTAGCACACGTCATTCTAGACCAAATTCAGTAGGCTGTATCAAATTTCGTGCAAATCGAAAAATATATGTAGGGACTTTGGTACCCCATTTACCTTAAATCAGACGAAAATATATATGGGAGCTATATCTAAATGTGAACCGATTTTCACGAAACTTAGCACACGTTATTCTAGACTTAATTCAATACGCTACACCAAATTTCGTGCAAATCGAAAGATATATAGGGACTTATGTACCCCATTTACCTAAATCGGACGAAAATATATACGGGAGCTATATCTAAATGTGAACCGATTTTCACGAAACTTAGCACACCTCATTCTAGACTTAATTCAATACGCTATGCCAAAATTCGTGCAAATCAAATGATTTTCAGGGACATTGGTGCACCATTTACCTTAAATCGGGCGAAACTATATATGGGAGCTATATCTAAATCTGAACCGATTTTCACGAAACTTAGCACACAGCATTCTAGACCTAATTCAATAGGCTGTACCAAATTTCGTGCAAATCGAAAGATATATAGGCACTTTAGTACCCCATTTACCTTAAATCGGACGAAAATATATATGGGAGCTATATCTAAATGTGAACCAATTTTTCCCAATTTCAATAGAGTTCGTCCTTGGGCCAAACTAATAATCTGTGCCAAATTTCATCCAATTCGCATCATAAATGCGACCTGTACTTTGTTTACAATTTAACATGGACAGACGGACGGCATGCATTAATCGACTCAGAAAGTGATTCTATGAATATTCTCAAAAGGACCATGGGTCTATCTCGATTATTTTTGCCTGTTACAAACATATGCACAAAGACTTAATACCCTGTACGACAGTGTGGTGAAGGGTATAAAAATCAAGGTAGAGCCTATTTGGTTGAAAAACGGGCTCAAACCCCCCAAAATAACGAATAGTTTACGGTACCATTACATCGAGGCTTTCCGAAAACTTGGGTCAATAAAAATATTTTTTTTTTTGGGAAATTTTCTACTCAACGAGAATTCCTAATAACAAATGTTCCAGGTATGTTCCAGTACTTTTTTAATAGTAAATCTAGTAAAAGGGAAACATTTCAAAATTGCTCTCAGAGTACAAAATAATTTGAAAAGTTCGAAAACGCAAATCTAGTAAATATGCCAAAATTAGATGGCAATACTTCAAAATCAACATAACAGCCAATCAGAAGCAGGCATTCCTGTTTACCATTTTTACTCGACCAAATTTCTCGAGAAAAAAGTTTACAAAGAGAACTCCATTTTGTTTTGTGCTCTCTTAAATTTGAGTCAATGTCTTACCAGTTTTGTGGGTCTTGTAATTTTGGCTGAACGTCGCTCTTAATCCGAAGCCTGGGTTTTTGGAAATTCGTACAAGAACGGCACGAAAATTGCCAAGAAGAAGTATTTGTATTTGACGAACTAGTGTAACTAGAACTCTTAAATTTAAAAAGAGGATCACTGACGGAGAATTTTTTTTGAAAATTCGAACTAAATGTATCCAAAAAGTACTAAGATGTACAAAAGTTGGTACAATTTCGTGGCATGTGAACGGATGGATCTAAAAATTTGGAGTGCGAATTAAGGTTGAAAAGTAGGGTCGATATAAAGAGGTGGTTAGTATGTAGAAAGATTTGAAGGTTATACAAATGTGTGTTGAATGGTACTAAATTTGGTACAATTTAAATTTTGGGCGTACCGATAGAGCAGGAATCCTGATATTTGGAGTTAGGATCACTGTTGGGGTATATAGTTATGGAAATTTATACTAATGTGTACTAAATGATACCAAATTTGCATTTGGGTGAACCGATAGAGCTGGAACATTGAAATTAAGAATACTTTTGGTGTGTAGTCTTGCTGTATGTAAGTTTTGGAAATTCGTACTAATGTGTTCTAAGTGGCACTAAATTTGCTACAATTATATTTGTGTGAAGCGATCGGGCTGGAATCCTGAAATATTTCTATGGGATTTATATAAACGTGTACTAAATTTGGTATAATTAATTATAATTCGAATCATGAAATTTGGAATACTTACTTAGCTGGCTTATGACAGAACTTTTCCAACTTAAAAAAGATTTCCAGGAGCGTCGATCTTGTCCGCATTTATCCAATTTGAAAGACCCTTTTTCGAGATGTTGACTTTTACGTGATCTTTCCATCGAATTCGTTACCTTCCCCTTCTACGTGAAACATCAGTTGGCTCACTTTTATATGTCTTTAAGTTGGGGCATCCTCTTCCATTCTCACAACA